CATTCGTAAAAACTAAAATCGTAACACAACAACTAACAAATTGTAAAATATAACAATCAAACTATCACATAAAATTCACATTTCATATTAACCGTGGTCCGTACATCCAATAATCAATGAATTCAAATAAGTCACATACTTAAATATTTCTGCTATCACCGTTAGTCAAATTAATGTCGTCAAGGAGTTAACCCTGTTACAAGGCTTTTGCGACAAGTATCTTCGTCAAAACCAAACGTAAACTTTACACGCAAGCTGTGACTGGATTAGGACTAGCGTCATAACCATTCAGAAATAAATTGATCAAGTTATAGAAGAGATATTCAATGTTGTCGGTTCAAAGAGAATTTTGGCAAGGAAAAGACGTGGACTCATAAATGCCGTAGGTCGTGTCTCTAAATTATTGTTTGGGACTTGCTCAGATGAAGATGCAGAACTCTTGTACACTAAGTCTGCGGAACTCGGTCGTTCTTCTAGCGAAACATTACATCTCTCTCGAGACTTAAACTCGAATTGTACGTGCTTCGTTTGGTGACTTGAATGTTACTCTATCTTCCTTAATCAAGGAGCGCCGTGATATGGTATCCAATATCCGACAATTGTATAAGACTCTCGAGAAAGACTCAGCGAGACTATCAGAAATCGACGCACGTGAAATGCTGGTAGAACAAGTTGCCGTCATTAATCTACAGTTGACGCAAAGCGTATTCCAAGTTCAGAGATTGTTGCAACTAGTAAACTCCGCCATAAATGGACACATTCATCCTTCTCTTTTATCGCACAAACAATATTTAACACAATTCCAACTACCTACTGGTTCAAATTTACCGTTCCGACTAGAGGTGTTCTCCTCTATAAGCAAATTAATTCAAATTTCTACCATCTCAGTGGTCATGGTAGATGACACGTTTATTTTCATCCAATGTATCCCTTTAATCGACTATAATGTTTTTTCAACTTTTAAAATTATTCCATTTCTATTCACGAACAAGATGATATATACTCTTTAATTACTCCCTCTGTCTCGGTAATAGCTCTCAGCAAAAATCATGAATATTTTATACAGTTAACAGAAACCCAACTCGAAACTTGTAAAGTCTTAGACTCTTCATTTTTTTGCCCCGATACTCATTTATTGTATACAGCTACTAATACCCTTTGCAGTCTTCAACCCTTATTAGGACGACCAATTATACCAACTCTTTTGTAATATCCACTATATAACCATAAAAATCCGCTATGTTTAGTCGTTTGTCCAAAACTAACACTTGGTTGTTTTGGGCCAAAAATGAAAGCGTAATCATAAAATGTAATAATAGTGAACCCCGTATTATAAGATTAGATGGTACAGGACAGGTAACACTTAATCAAACGTGTAATTTGTTTGCAAATCAAATCATTCTCATACCTTCTCAAAACCATAACTAAAAATACAAGTCAAGATCTGTACCTACCGATAGTAGTTACATTAAAAGTTACACTCTATCCTTGGACGAACAAGATATTTTAAAGAATTACAAATTTCCCGAACCTCTGAATGATAAATATCTCATAGAAATCGAAAAACATTCTAAATCGTTGAAAGAAATCAAAAATGAAGCCACAATCATTTACAGAATTTTAAATCAATACAAATAAACCACTCTATTCTCACTTTAACAATTGTAATTCTCTCTACTATTTTACTGTTTCCAAGTACAAAAAGCGTAAACCTGTTGTGTACCAACCCCGAGACGTAGTCGCGGAATCGTCAATTTAGTTAGAAATGAAGATACCCAAAAATGTATTTAATTATGTACCCCTTAGGTTTAATTATAGTAAGTAATATAATTAGATATAAGATAATAAACACGGAATGGCGGTATTGTAACCCGTGCCCACGTAAGTTAATAAAATTATAATTATTTAATTAATCTTTTTCTCCGTATTTTATATCACAATATTTTTATTTTTTATTTTTAGGATTTTTCTGACATTTCCTTGCGTTACCACGGTTTTTTGTGATTGTTTTACAAACATTCCGATTACAAATCATACTGGACTCTATTATGAATTGTTGAAATAATCAATAAATAATTTATATTATATTCTTCTTAGAATGTAAGTTCTCATTAATATTGTTTAGATAAACTTGTTTTCTTAATAAGCAAAATATTATGGCATATATTAAACATATTCTCTGTCTGAATTACCTTTCTCATATCTTCTAAGTCTTATAAGTGTGCTGCTTAAATCTCTTGGTGCAGTACATAAATTGGTGTCAGAAGTGGGATAAAATGCTTTGTTTTGCTACATTTTGGTTTAATAGTTCAACACACACGTCAACATCATATACCCCATATGAGTTAGTTTTTGGACACAAACCACAAATCCCTTATCACAAGCACCAAGTCCACAATATAACTATGATGATTACTCTTTCGATCTTAAAAGAAAGCTACAGGAAAGCCATGAGATAGCCAGGAAAAATATTTTGGAAAGTAAAGAAGCAAACAAAGAAAGGTATGACCAATCTGTCCAACCCATCCAAATCCACGAAGGAGGTAAAGTTTTGGTAAAAAATCATAAAAAAAGAAATACATTTGATAAACATTGGACAGGACCCTGGCAGGTACTAGAAGTATACGCTAACGAAAACATACTAATATTAAAGGGGCGAAAGAGAGTCCGAATACACATAAACAATGTCAAACAATTTTTTGAGTAAAGAAATCGTAAATGTTTTTTATTAGACTGTTTGCATAATGTGTTTTTTTTACTCTAACAATAATAAATAGAATAAAAAGAAAAAGTATAATTAATTATTGTTCTAGGTCAAAAATTAAATTTATAGTAGCAGATTTCGAATTCACAAACGTTAATGGGAAAGACATTTTGTTGGTATCCGGAGCAATATCAGACAGCCTAGACAAGTTCAAAGTGGTAAAACTGGTAGGGAGACCGCTGATATTAACAAAAGAGGGAAAACTAAGGGTTTTTCAAAAAGTAAATTTACCGGATGTGCAAAACCATATTAAAAAATTTTTTCGGTACGAACCAGAAAAGCGATTGCCTCTTTTAAAAGAACTCAGGGAAAGTGTGTTCAACAAAGGAAAAAACACACTGTCAACCGTATTTATCCAAAATTATCTACACAAGGGTAATCGACCACCCATTCTGGTTTTTTGGAATGGAAATAATGATTTAAATATAATGAAAGGATTAAGGTTACCAGGAATAAAACTCATACTTAATATTACGGCATACGACCATGAAAATAATGGGAATTTCCACCTAAAACTAACAAATTTTTCTAAGGAAAACAGGGTAGTTTTAGCAAGTATACCTATAGGAAAACACAAAAAGAACGGAAGAATGTTAAACCTAGTAGAAGCGCACGGGATAATTTGCGAAATTGATCATGGGAACTGGGAACACCATAATCCAATGGGAGACGTTTTATTAACAAAGTGTTTGTTTAACACGATTATAAAAAACATAAAAACCAAGGAAATTGTATAAATTATGTGTAGAATTAAGCAAATAAAGTATTTTTTTTTAAATAATACGGTTTCTTGTTTTTTCTTCCTTTTCAAAAAAAAGAGAAGTCAGGAAAATTAGATAAGTTACGGGAAAACATAAATAAATAAATAAATGAATAATGAACTAAACAAATAATAAGCGTTATTCTGTTACAGACTGTTAATAACAATACTAATCAGCGTCAATCTGAGTCATTGCAATTAATTTATCGACATTAAAATCAATAATTCGGCGGGAATTTATTTCGAAAATCAAGGAAGAATTAAAATCAACACAGCAGAATGGACAATAGTTACCTACCTTGACCTAAACCATTTCGAAGCTAAGCAATTATTGTTAAGCGAACATTTGAGTCAATCTAAGGAACTTTGCGTTAATAGTCCAGATACAGAACCAATAACTGTAGCACCAAACGTAACAATAAAATCAAATAATCAAACTTCTTGTTGGGAATTATGGGAAATTCGAATAAATTAGCCCAACAAATTAAATATAAATATGAAATGTTAACTGCATACATGGAGGAGGTAATAACAACAGACTTTGAGAGGGAGAAAAGGGATTTGTCCTCTTTCATTTTAGTAAAAAACAGCCAACTTAATATTTGGAAAAATAGATAATAGTGCGGCATCAAAATATAATAAATTAATTGAGCAGGTAAATAAATTAGAAGTAAATCGATTAAAAATGGAAAAAGAACAAATCAAAATAATTAAAAAGCAAAATGAAATATATTCAAATTTTAGTTTATATTCAAACTTTTCCGAAAGTATGTTATTAACTCTAAATTTAACAAAGCAGTTTAGAAATAAAAATGATTCACCAGTAAGTAATAAATTTTTTTGGGCAAAAATTTATGAGGAACAATTTTTTTTACGTTTAGATAATATGTTACAACAAAATATTTTGGAATTATTTACTTTATCAGAAATAATTAACTATGCAAAAATAGGATTGATTCATCCTAACATATTATCACCAAAAGAACTTTTGGAACAATTTAAAGATATAAAAATTTCTTTACCCAGTGGAACGGATTTGCCAATTGACTTAGGGTTAACAGGGATATATGAATTATTAAAATTATCGGAAATCACGATATATCACGCTGATGGTAGAATGGTGTTTTTAACTATACAGCTTTGTGCCCACTACAAGTATGACAATTGACCTAACTTTATTTACTAATGAACATGTAATTCCAGTAGTAGATGCAAGGCGGATCACAAACACAAATCAATTTAATGATTTACCGACCATTGGGAAGTCAGTTAAACAATTGAGAGAACAGCTCGACGAACAACTGCGAGCTAAAAACCGTCGAATACAACCTATAATTAATTATGTCTTGGCAGCATGCATAATATGTATAGGAATAGCGGGCTGCTCATGTTTCATTGTAATACGATGGAAAAAAACCAGAGTTGACACACAAGTGCCAACAAATCAAAACAACGAGTACGGTAATGAAGAAATACCGTTGGAACACCGATGGCCAGATGATTTCGAGCAGGGGTATTCATCCGCGTCGGTATGCGAGCCTAGCGTCGCAAATAATAGCACGCCGCTTCCTACGTGTCCAGATGGCAATTTGACAACACATGCTAAGATACGTTTGGAATACGGTTTCTAAAGGGAAAAATAAAAATGTATTGTTTATATTATAACTTATTAGAATAGTTGTAAAATTTAAGAAAAATTTTAATTTTTGGTATACATTTTTATCTTGTAGAGGGAGGGATGTAATAATCCCAATACTATTGTTTGTTATTATTAGTCTTATTATTATTGCCATATAGATGTTGTAATACTTTTACTTGTTTGTAGCCACGTGTGTTGGCCAATAGCCCAATCACGCGTTATCGTTATTGACTATTGTTATTATTATTGAGTAGTAGTAGGACTAACCATTGTTTAGTTTAATATAAAAGGGCATTAGTTATTAAGCTAGGCACCTCAGTACTTAATTAGTATACTCAGTGATCTAATTGATACTCTGTGTCACTATTATAAGTATTGTCTTGAATTATTATTGTGTTTAAAAGTGTTAATTGAACATTACTATAAAACTTGTTTATTCTCTGTCTGAATTACCTTTCTCATATCTTCTAAGTCTTATAAGTGTGCTGCTTAAATCTCTTGGTGCAGTACAGTACCTATAAAAATTTGAGTAGCTGGCGCTTAGTTCATCGAGTTGGTGAATTTACATTTTAAGCGTTACTTAGCCATTTATAAAAAAGGGTTTGTAACATATATAATATACACTACAATAACCTTTTCATCCGTCCGTCGTCGAATGTTTGGCGTTTGCGCTATCAGTGTGTCAAGTCGCCATTTCCAAGTTCAAACAAAATTTGTTCGCCAACGGATGAAGAAATGTCGAACACCGGTGAAAACAACATAAACCCCAATGAAGAAAACCAACGATTATTACATAACAAATATACCATATATCATTGGTTGTTATTATTTCTTTTCTCGACTTTGTCACTTGTACAATAATTTTATCAAGCGCGTACTTTAGACACGACGTTTTATCTGTGTCATAAGAAATACTGCCCACTTATATTTTATTTGTTTCGGACATTTCATTAAGCGTGTATTCTTGACAATACGTGTTCGTCCGTTCACCAGAATACTACCCGCTTAATTAGTACCAAAACAACAAGCATACTAGCATGGGATTTTGGTTTTCATTAACAACACATTATTTAACATTAACGACAAATCTTTTAAGAATTTTTTTTTTCACTTTTTTGTATACGTCATTCTATTTGTTGTAACAAATTGCCGTAAACAATATTAATTCAACGTCCAACGCCATAGGCTATGACTAAATAAACAGGCATGATTGCAAGATAATCTCGCGCATAGATTTGCCCCAAATTTGGAAGAAAAAACTCAATATCATAGAATAAAGAAAAAACCGCGTTTATTTTAAAATCAGTTAGAAACTATTTGCTTTTAACAATAACCATTTTAGTGTATTTATTATATATAAATATAATTCATTGTTTAGTGAAGAAGAAAATTCAAGATACATCGCTGGTTCAGTAGCAAAAAAATATAAAAAGAAGTACCCTTTTCTAGAACATACTCCCGTCTATGATGAAAAATTAGAAATCTGGGAATCTGGATGAATGACATTTTAAACTGTTTATATGGTTTTAAGTAAAATCTATCGCCCTGTCTATCGGTCCCTGTCGAGAGAAATAAAGATACAATCGTATACTACACTATTATGCCCTATAATTACATACGGAGCAGAAACATGGACATTGAGGAAAACGGAAGAAAATAAATAAATTATTCTGGAGGAAAATCCTAAGAAAGATCTTTGGTCCAGTAAAAGACGAGGAAACTGACGGATGGAGAATAAGAAAAAACAAAGAACTAGAGGAACTCTATAAAAATAAACTTATATCCAACGGCAACCTAACCTAGGTTAGGGTAGGTCACCCTACCCGGATGACATATCTATGGTGTAACACATAGATGGGTGTACCACGTCGAGACAACCCTTAGAAAACCGGGTACAACTCGATTTTAATCATGAAAAACGGTACATAAAAAAATATTAAATACCCAACGTCTAAGTTGGTTCGTTGGAGGCTTTAACTGTCGGAATACGATTATAAAATAATTTATATTTATAAGCCAGTAATACCGTCAACCTTTTACAGAAACCCAGATCCGCAATTGTGTTACAACGATTTTGTCACGGATCTTAAACGTGAGATGCAAGAATCGCATAAAATTGCGTATGATAACACATTATTACATAAAAAAAAAAAGAATAAGTTAATCTACGACAAAACTGCGCGCAAACAATCGATATAGATAGGAAATAAAGTTCTAATGAAAAAAATAAGAAAAAAACATTCGTTAGAGGACAATTGGATAGGTCCCTTTCAAGTTTTAAAGGTACACAATAATCATATAATATCACAATCAAAATGGGTAGACGTGAAAAAATATCCTTTTAAATAATGTAAAGAAGTTTTACGACTAAGGGTCGTTCATTCTCGGATAAAACATTTTTTTTCTCTTTTTCTTTATAAAAAAAAAAAATATAATAATTATATAAAAAAAAAAATAAATCAATAAATAAAAAAATAAAATAATTACTACTACTATATTCAAGCACCAAACTGGTCCGGGTTGGCATTTTTTCTACGTTCTAAATACTATATATTTATTTATTAGTTTTAATTCAAATTATTATTACTAGGTCTAGGATTCATTTCGTAATAATAGATATTGAGTTTGTAATCCTAAATCGAAGTGACCTAGTCCTAATTAGTGGAGCTGTATCTAACTCTTTAGATAAATTTAAACTACAAAGGCTAACGGGTAATCCAATTATTTTCAAAGAAGACGGCAGACAGGAAATTTTCAACACCGATGACCATTTGGAGCAGACTATGAACCGTTTAGACAGAGTTATCTTTAACAAACAAAGTATAAAACTAGAGGCAATTTTCACTGAACTATATGACAGTCTTTTTCTAGCAAAAAATAATCTAAACTCAGATTTTCTTAAGACTTAGACACGGAAGTTTATCTTCGAGCACTACAGGCTCGATCCAGCTGCGTATCTTACGACCCCTTCGTTAGCCTGGGATGCGATGAAGCTAATAACAGGGGTCAAAATAGAACTGATGACGGAGCACGAGCAGGTGCAATACGTCATGAAAAACATCCGCGGGGGGTTGGTCCAATGCAACCAACATTATGCAAAGGCCAACAATAAGTATATGGAGGACTTTGACCAGACGGAAGAGCCATCGTACATCATGCAGTTGGACGAAAATAATTTGTGTACGGGTGTGCGATGAGTCTACCCTTCCGATTGGTGAGTTCCGGTTCTTAACCCCTGCGGACCTCGTAAATTTTGACCCCCTCACCGTTTCGGACGATGCGGAATTCGGCTACTTTGTGGAGGTAGACCTCGAATATTCGCACGACGTCCACGACCGCCTAGCAGACTTACCGTTCTTTCCGGAGAATGTGGTTCCACCCGGAGGCAAACAGCCAAAGCTCATAGCAAACCTGTTCAATAAAGAGAAGTAAGAACAACGGGGAAA